CGTATTTTTCGATGCGTTTTTCTCGCCGAAAAATTTTTTTTTGAATTTTTTCTTTATTTTTATGTCAATCTACATGCATTTCTGCACATTTTGATGCAATAAAAAATTTCACCGTAAACCACCTTTAAATGTAACACTCACTTCCATTGGTCGTCGGCCGAATTTGCGTCTTCGTAGCTGGCCGCAAGAGATCGCATTCTATTAAAGTTTTGTGAGGATATCAATGAACTCAGTGACCGTTTGTTGCAAATGCGCTCTATCAAAACTTATGAGAAATTTAGTCACCTTAAAGCAGGTCCTGATGATCACATAAGAATTCCATTGAAAATGGAAAGTTTTTTCAAAAACCGAATGAGTGTGCCATTTTCCCATGGAGCAGTTCCTCTCCTCTCTCTCTCTCTCCTCTCCTGGCCGCGCAATGCTCAGGAAGAGGACGCAAAAAAAAAGAAGATGCTCCAATAATATTTCAACAACAGGAGAAACGAGCACACTCTCTCAGTATCACATAATGTATCCATGTCCGAGAGGCGACCTGGAATGGAAAAAGAGAGTGTCAGACGGTTTGTTTACTTGTTGCCAGGGGGGACCCGTGTGGGTGCCAAGCCGTGTTTGTCTATATGACACTGAGCGCCGCGGCGCGCGCGTGCACCAAAAAATTGAGAAATTTCAACCCCGTCTTCTCTGGCGCCAGAGCTCCGTGGAGGGACAGAGATCAAACAAAAACTACTGGAGCTGCAAGGAGAGCTAGAGAATGAGAGAGTTAGAGAACACATGTATGTCCCCCGTCCAGTTGTTTTCTGTTTTTGCCGAACGCCATGGGTGGCACGGTGCCCGGTGCATTTGGCGCCAAATGAACAACACTGAGCCTGAGACTCCGCGACACTTCTCGAATTACGTTTTTTCCAAGAAGAAGAAAAAGATGCTTGAAAGTAGGGAAGAGAAAAGTCACATCTGGCGGAAAGGAAGAAAAGAACAAAGGAAAAATGAATGGGGTAGGAATGGAGAGGTCGAATGCTCCAGTTGTTCTTAGAGGTAATACACATCAACACCTAGGAATTCATGAGGAGAAAATGAGTGTGAGGGTTGCAAAAGAATATTCAGTTTTTTTGAAAAAAAATACCAAACCATTTTTTGAGCCTTAAGGATCTACCGTGAATGCCCTAACTGAAGCCCATTCGATACGCGCACTTTGAGCTCAATTATCTCGATTTTTAAAAAATATATCAAAAAGTGGTCAACTGATAAAATGTTTATCATCATTATCAGCAACATTTTGTTAGTTGACAGATTTTTGATATCTTTTATAGGAACCGAGATATTCGAGCTCAGAGTAGTGCACGTCTTCTTTAGAGACGGTTTTTGGGGACAGATCCAAAATTTAATTTTTTGCTGAATTTTAAAAATCCAGTTTACGAGACATTTGAGTTCTTTTTTATTTTTTGAAAAATACAGAAACTGTTCCATTGCTGGGATTCCAAAATTTCATGTTTTTTGTAAACATGGTACTATTTTTTTTAGAAAATCAAGGAACTGTTTCCATAATTTCCAGAATTTTATATTTTAAAAAATTCTGAAACCAAGATTCCAAAAATTTTCTGTAATGATAGTAGGATCTTAAAGGCTTAGAATTTTGAAAGTTTCTAGATTCTTAGATTTTTTTTAAATTAAGAAAAATGGATGCTCCTAACTTTTAAGCTTTTTTCGTGAAGGTTTTTGAAATTCAAAGAATTTCAGCTTGTACAAAAATTTAAAATATTTTTGAATCTTTCAAAAATAGAAACCTCTGTAATTTGGAATTTTCTAGCAAATCTAAAAATATGTATCTATGGAAAAACTTGAATATCACCTGTCTTTCTAGGAATCTAGACATTTCTCTATGGCTTTGAAAAACAAATTTTTGCACTTTTATCTTTTAGTGTACTCAATGCTTTTTAATGAGCTCACTAGACTTTTCAAAAATAGCATGGAAATTTGAATGAAGACAAAAGTTCAGAACTTAAGGAAATCGGTAAATAAAAAAAAGAGGAATTTACTAAATTCCGAAATTCCGAAATTCCAGGAAGATTTCAATTTAATTTTTTTAAATTCAGACAAAGGACGACAAATTACAAGAAGTTCTCAGCAATACTGCAACAAATGTTCAAACGTCCACTCCAAAGATCAGTAGGTGATGAAACATAGGTGGGCATATAAAACTGTATTCTTCTGCACACATTTTCCCCAGGAGAACAATCAGCACTTGACGTCGTACCTGTTTTAAATACGCGTTTTCCACTCGAGACCCTTTATTGCATAGCACCAAATCTATAGAGTCCTCTGTCCTATAGATTTTATGTCCTTGTTTTTTCTTTCTATATATGCTAGTTGTTCTTCCACATCTTGTTTAATACATACATTCTGCGAGGTTGATTCATTTTCTCCAGACATGACCGAATCGAGATTTCCATTTCCCCGTCTACCTAACGATCTTTGTTCAAAAGTTCTTAAAACCATGGACCCCCATGAAATGTGAGTTTTTAACAAATGCTTGAATTCGTTTCATTGTGCATTTCGTTTCATTTCATTTCAGAATTGCCTACACATTCACTTCAAAGAAGGCTTTATCATTGGTTAAATCTCTCCGTTTACCGCTTAGAAGGGCTACAACAAAAATTGGATGGCCCAGTGTACGCTTGGTCTTTCGTGACATTACTGTCGTATTCAAGTATAAAATGGGTAAAAATGATGAAGTCATGACGACTCTTGATGATATTCCTGTCAATGTTGATGTTGAATTAATGAGATTCAACCCGATTCCCGAATCTAAAGCATTCATTTGGTCAAATCAAGGAAAGAATATAGGAGAGTGGGTTCAACATCTCAGCTCGATGTTCCGATGTGAATGTTATGAAGCCATATTTCATATCTTTAATACACGGTTATACATTCAATCACTTCGGAATACGCTCCCAAAACTCCGAAGAATCGCTATCAATTGTCTCATAAATGAACCGAACAACCAAGAAATTCAAAGCATTGAGAATATTTTAAGAGCCTTTTTACCTGATGTCAAGTGTGTCCGATTGCATCGTGTCCCTCTCCTTCCATTCAGGAACCTTTCCATTCATCACATTGGAATGACGAATTTGAGAGAGTTGATTTTAGAACCGGATCAAAATCTAAAATTCGACGATCTTTCAACACTGAATGTTGGAAGCTGTACTATTTTTATAACTCAATTCTCGGTTCGTGATTTGAATCGTTTCTTCAAATTGTAGACAAAAGGATCTTATCCCAATTTGCACTCATTAAACATTCTTGTGCGTCTGGAAAATGCCTCAGATTGGAATACCTTGTTAAAAAGATTAAACGCAGAAGAAGCAGACAATTCGCAAGAACTAGTAGAAGGAAATAAAAAGTTTATAATAGACATCTCTCGAGGAGCTTGCGCTCAAGTTTTAATTCAGCCCGTTTTTTTTTTTCATTTTCTTTCCCCGGTTACCGTCACTTCTTATTTCTTGAAATCCTCCGAATAAACGAAATATATATATTTGTCGTAACTTTTGTTACAAATTGTTGATTTTCAGACTTTTCCAGATCACTCGAGTCATTTTTCAGATACAATCAGTCGGAAGGGAAATATGGATTCAGTCATATCTGAAAGAAAAATCAATTGATAAATTAGAACACATTTATTAGATTCAATTTTATTAGATTCAATAACAACAATTTGTTAGAAAAAAGAGAAGTGAAGTGGGCGAGATATAACATGATTATTGGAAAAATATAAAAAGAGAAAAAGGGAAAGTTAAAAAGTGGTAATTTGAAAATTAAGAAGGTACATTTGATCCAGAAAAAGAAAATTAAAACCGACATATTTCTGGGGATGAACGTTGCAATTTCGAGATTTCAATTCTAGCAGAAGCCCACATATCAACGGGCTGAATTAAAACTTGAGCGCAAGCTCCTCGAGAGATGTCTATTATAAACTTTTTATTTCCTTCTACTAGTTCTTGCGAATTGTCTGCTTCTTCTGCGTTTAATCTTTTTAACAAGGTATTCCAATCTGAGGCATTTTCCAGACGCACAAGAATGTTTAATGAGTGCAAATTGGGATAAGATCCTTTTGTCTACAATTTGAAGAAACGATTCAAATCACGAACCGAGAATTGAGTTATAAAAATAGTACAGCTTCCAACATTCAGTGTTGAAAGATCGTCGAATTTTAGATTTTGATCCGGTTCTAAAATCAACTCTCTCCAATTCGTCATTCCAATGTGATGAATGGAAAGGTTCCTGAATGGAAGGAGAGGGACACGATGCAATCGGACACACTTGACATCAGGTAAAAAGGCTCTTAAAATATTCTCAATGCTTTGAATTTCTTGGTTGTTCGGTTCATTTATGAGACAATTGATAGCGATTCTTCGGAGTTTTGGGAGCGTATTCCGAAGTGATTGAATGTATAACCGTGTATTAAAGATATGAAATATGGCTTCATAACATTCACATCGGAACATCGAGCTGAGATGTTGAACCCACTCTCCTATATTCTTTCCTTGATTTGACCAAATGAATGCTTTAGATTCGGGAATCGGGTTGAATCTCATTAATTCAACATCAACATTGACAGGAATATCATCAAGAGTCGTCATGACTTCATCATTTTTACCCATTTTATACTTGAATACGAAAGTAATGTCACGAAAGACCAAGCGTACACTGGGCCATCCAATTTTTGTTGTAGCCCTTCTAAGCGGTAAACGGAGAGATTTAACCAATGATAAAGCCTTCTTTGAAGTGAATGTGTAGGCAATTCTGAAATGAAATGAAACGAAATGCACAATGAAACGAATTCAAGCATTTGTTAAAAACTCACATTTCATGGGGGTCCATGGTTTTAAGAATTTTTCTAAAATATTTGTGTCCAGTGCATTATATTACATTTCAGAATCGCTTTCTCATTCGTTTCAAAGAAGACATTATCAATGGTTCAATCTCTTCGTTTGCCTCTTAAACAGGTTCGAATAACAATGAGAAAACACACGGAAATAAAATTTCATACAGAAATTTCCAGTTCTATAAGTTTCACGTTTAGCATGCTAAAAAATGACAAAGAATTGAAGAAATTGGATGATACTCCGGTCAATGCTTATGTGGAAATAACGAAATTTCAACCGATTGACGAATCTCAAAGATTTACCTGGTCGAATCATCAAACGACGTTAGGAAAGTGCATTCGAATTCTCTGCTCAATTTTTCGATACGAAGCTTATAAAGCCGATTTTCATATGAGAATGACTCAATATGAAATTCAATCAATTCGGAACACTTTTCCAAAACTCAGAACTATTTGTATAGTAGGTGCTCTTGATGAACAGGAAGAGCACGAAGTTGTGTACGCTCAAAAACTATTAAGAGTTTTCCTGCCTGATGTTGAAAATGTCCGATTGCGTCGTGTCCCTCTCCAAGAGAACCTTTCCCTTCAACACATTGGAATGTCCAATTTAAAAAGTCTGAATCTATTTTATTCACGAAACCTGAAGATTGATGATCTGGTAACTTTCAATGTTGAGAAATATGTCAATCGGACCGATAAAATCTCGCCTCTTGATTTGAATCGATTTTTTAAATTGCGGACGAAGGGATGCAATCCCAAATTAAAGTATTTCTTGGTTCATGGGAATATCTTCTCAGATTGGAACGTCTTGTTCAAAGGATTAAACGCAGAAGAAGCAGACGATGCTGAAGGAGGAAAAAAATCATAATAGAAAATTGCCAAGGATTTTGCGCTCGAGTTCGATTTCAACCTTTTCGAATGAATGTTTCTATTCTATTTACTGTTCCAAACTTGCAACGTTCATCCCCAGAAATATGGAGTTTTTAATTTTCTTTTGCTGCACGTCCGTATATGTGATCTTTCATTGTCGAATTACTTTATTTCCAATATTTGCTTCAAAATTTATGTCATTCAACTTTTTATCTATTTTTAAAATATCAAACTATTTACTTGATATCTTTTATTTTCTTCAAAATTAATACAATCCATTTCTTTACTTTATTTTTTCTTTCTTCATCCTTTTTTTCTAATCATTTTATGTTATCTAATCTACAGTACCGATCAATCGCTCATTAGTTTTCCCTATTTCCACTCGAGACCCGATATTATTGATTGACAACAAATCAATAGCATTCTCTTCTCTATAGATTTTATGTTCTTGTTTTCTCCTTCTATCTATTTCTGGTCCTTCCTCTTTTTTCTAATAAATGCATTCTGTTTTATCAATTTCTTTCTTTTGCTAGATATGTCCAACTCGAAATTTGCTTTCCGCCGTCTACCTGATGATATTTGTTCAAAAGTTCTAAAAACTATGGAACACCATGAAATGTGAGTCTATCTCCTCCAAGGTTTGAATTCGTAGCATTTAGCGTATTCCATTTCAGAATTGTCTATTCATTCACTTCAACGAAGTCACTTTCACTAGTTCAATCTCTTTGTTTGCCGCTGAAAAAGGCTCGAATAAAAATGCAGGTTTGGCCTGATATATATTTGGATTTTGGTAACGTTACTGAGCTATTCGAGTGGAAAATGGGCGAATACGGCAAAGAAATGAAGAGCATTGATGATATTCCTGTCAAAGTTAATGTATCAACGCAAAAAAAATCTCAAGAATTTGGCCCTATTTTCACAAATACAGCATTCACTTGGTCTTCTCAAAAAAAGAGTATAGGAGAGTGCATCCAACGTATCTGCTCGATTTTCCGATGTGAAAGTTATGAAGCCGATTTTTATATTGAAACGATAACGTTCGATATGCAATCACTTCGGAATACGTTCCCAAAACTCAGGAATATTATTATCAGTTGTTTCAAAATTGAACCAAACGAACGAGACATCCAAAACGCTCAAAATATTTTGAGAGTTTTTCTACCATATGTTCAAAATGTCATATTGCATGGTGTCCCTCTTCAAGAGAGCCTATCCTTTCAGCATATAGGAATGGCCAATTTAAAAGAACTAGACTTCTATTATCCTCACAACCCAAAGTTCGATGAGCTTTTAATACTGAATGTGAACGTTGTAGGATTCGTAGAACTCAATTCTCGCTTCGCGATTTGAATCGATTCTTCAAATTGTGGACAAAAGGATTTTTTCCCAAATTGCAGTCGTTACAAATTTTTGGGCGTTTGGAAAAGGTCTCAGATTGGAATATCTTGTTTAAAGGATTAAACGCGGAAGATGCAGGCGATTCAGAGGGACTAGGAGGAAAAAGGTATCTAATAGAGAACACACGAGAGGTTTGCGGTCAAGTTCGAACTCAAACTGTTGGAAGGCCTGTTCATCTTAATATTCGGTTTACTGTTTCAAAATTGCAACGTTCATCCCCACAAATATGGGATTTTTAATTTTCTTTGGCTGCAGGCCCGTGTGTATTCTTTTTTAATGAGAAATTACTTGATTTCCAATATTTGCTTCAAAATTATTATCATCCACTTTTCAACCTTCATTCTCTTTTTATCCTTTTCTTCTAATCATGCTATAATCTCTACCCTACAGTACCGATTAATCGCTTACTAGTTTTACCTATTTCCACCCGAGACCCGACGTTACTAATTAAAGGAGGCCAGATAGCAAAAATTTTGGGGGACGAAATCGCGCCGCGCTTATGTAGGCCATCGGTCGGCAGGCGCCTTCGCGCCCCCGTAGCTCAGCCGGTAGCGGCGCTGTACCCCTGAGCTGTCCAGCATGAGTTCAACTCCTCATGTGGGTTCTCCAGGCAAAACATCAGGAAAATTTTTTTTTGGTGTCTTTAATACCAAATCAATAGAATCCCTGCTCTATTGATTTCATGCTCTTGTTTTCTCTTCTTTTCTATTTTGTAACCTTTTTTCTCTTTTTATTTGTCCCTTCTAATCTTATTAACGTCTTTATTCTCTACCCTACAATATCAGTCAAAAGCTCACTAGTTTCACCCATTTTTAGTTGAAAGTAGCCTATTTTAAAGTCGTAAACAAGTATTTCAAAATTTTTCAATTTGCCTGAAAAGTTCAGATTAGACAAAATAAAAATAGAGCTTCAATTTTGTAATTGACAACTTTTTTGTAGCTTTTTTAGTTTTTGAGATGTGCTCCTTTAAAGATGGCAGCCGCTACAATCCAAGGGAGAAGCTATGAGAAGATACTACGGTATTTTCAAAAGCGCATTTCTCAAAAACTAAAACAGCTAGAAAAAAGTTGTCAACTACAAATTTGAAGCTCTAGTGCTGTTTAGTATACACTGAAATTTTCAAACAAATCTAATAGTTTTAAACCACTTTTTTTATGGCATCGAAATTGACTATTTTCTACTGAAAATGTGTAAAATGTGTATACTTTTGGTAGGTACTGTAATTCGTTTTCAAAAAAACCATGCCATATTATCATCAATATTTTCATCAAAATATTTCTAAATAAACTACTTTTTTCAGTCCTGAAAGTTTTGTTCACTGAATTTTGTCACCTGAAGACGAAATTTTATTTTTTTTTAAAATCTATTTTATTGGCTGGAAACTTGGAAAAGGAATTCGAGTGGGTAATAACATGAATGGGGATTTTTTTTTGAAAAAAATATAAAAGATACATGAATTTCAGGATATTGTACCCATATACATAAATAGGGGAACAAAATTGGGGACTTGAAAAAAAAACGGTGAAAACACGGGGAACAAAAAATGGAGGACCAAATAAATATATATTGCAAAGCAGAGGAAGAAGGACATGGTGAAAGTTTGGTGTGGAATAGTGAAAATAGTGAAAGGAAATTTGATTTGGGTTTTTTTGGGTCTTGCCACGTAGTACAGTAAGACGACTCTCCAGTGATGGCAAAACCCTGGGGGAAAAGTGTACAAAAAAGGAAGAGGCATACTTGTCGACCGCGTAGCTCGATTCAAGCTCAAAATATTATAACGAAACGAGAAGAAAAATGTAGAAAATGAAGAGATCTACAAACTGATATAAAATTTGACTATAGAGAAATGCAAAATTCTAGAGCCAGGACGTGTGCAAGATCGGATACCCAGAGCAACCTGGATGGAAACCACTAGGCATCTATTACTGCCTCTAGCGTAGAAAGCGGATTTCAAATATAGTCAAATCAAATATCATTTTGTAGATCTTGTAAAACTCTACATTTCGCTTTTAAGTTTGCTCAAAAATTCCAATTTTGAATAGAGTTATGGACCGGCCAAGAGTATTCTCAAAAAGCATCAGTGAAACAGGAAAATAAGGGTGAAAAACACAAATGAGACCTCAAAAAAACAGAAGCGTTAGTAAACCGTAGGAGGCGCAAGAAAATTGCCGGATGACTCGACACAAGAATCATTAGTTGAGGACGAGTGATGGTGATGGTGAGTGGAAGTGGATTGGTGGTGCTCATAGTTCTCGGCAATTTCTTCTTGCGGCGAGTTAGATCTAGAAATCTACGTTTGGATTAGTTGGAAAGTAGAAGTGGTTGGAAGGGACCTTCTGGTGGCGCTGGAGAGACTTGTGCCGTCGTCGGTGCCTGTGGAGACGACGTCAACGGAGACGCGTGCGCGGAACGCGTTGCTGCTTTTGCGTTGGCGACGGAGCTCGGCGTAGTATCTGGAAAAGAGGAGGAGTTATTTTGAATTTAGTATCATTTTGTAGATGTTTTTAAGATCTATATTTTATTTGTTGTTTTGTCTAGCAAGTTATGCGGTTGACAAGTAAGCCAACCATTTTTGTACAAGCCCCCTCCCCCGGCTCTTCTCTTTGAGCTGATTTATCTTGCTTTCTGTAAATGATAGCAAAATGTTATCAACTAACAAGATATTGTTGATATTATAATAAACAATTTATCAGTTGACGATTTTTTAATATCTTTTATAGGAACCGAAATAAATTAGCTCAAAGTTAAGAGGTCGCCAGCCGATAGCCTCTACAGGTAAGACCGTCATATCAATTTTGAGCTGATTTATCTCCGTTCCTGTGAAAGATATCAAAATGTAGTCAACTAATAAACTGTTTAACATAAAATAACTAACATTTTATCAGTTGACAACTTTTTGATATGTTTTATAGAAATAGAGATAAACGAGGCTCAAAGTTGACATAGATTTTTATGTTTTTGAGATTGTTCCAATCTTAAAAGTGTGCCATTTTAGTGATTTCTCAAAATTATAACATTTGAATTTTGATTCTTATTCACATGATCTTAATTTATAGTTGCTTACATTCCAACAAACCACACTAGATACAAATTTTGTCCTCTTCAAATGAATGACTAAACACTCCCCCTTCTAGATGACTCAAAATTCATCAGACACAAATACCAAAAATTCTCAATATCAAATCCAACATTAAAAAAAAAAACTACTAACCCATCTCTGACCGCCGAGAAGACATGCGAGGTGAGCAAAGACCACGCGGCCGCGGTCTCACTGGTCGGATGCGCGGCTTGATCTAAAAATGTGCATTCTGTGGTGACGGCGTCGGCGGTGCATGCGAAGAAGTCTGGTTTGAAGCCGTTCGCGCGGAATTGGACATGATTGCATCCGAAATCCTCGGCGAGTCTGGAATAATAGATTTTTTGAAGTCGGTGGATTTTCGAAATAGCTCGGGTTCAAAAAAGTCTTAATCATGGACTGTACATTTTCGAAATAGCGAAAAATCGCCCATAAAGGATCTTCAAAAATCCATAACGGCCCATAATGATCCGAAAACATTTTTTTAAAATTTAACCAACCTGTTAATCTCATCAATATCTGTCAAATTGTCGACGACTCCTAGAAGGAACTGCTTCAAGTAGCTGGAGTTCTCATAGCGTTGTTTCTGAAAAAAAACCCCATTAAAATGGCTCCAGAATTCCTCCCAAACCTTTGTCAACTTATCGATAAACTGCTTGAAATCATCGCGTCGCTCTAGTGCTCGTCTGAAAATTCTCTCTCCCAAATCATCCTTCGAATTATCCATACATCCCTTGATAATCTGTCTTTGATTGACCGATAGAAGTGGCTTGCGGTTCCCTTGGGATGAGATGGATGGGCGGCTTGAGCTGCTGGAAGATCTGAAATCAAGGGGAGGACTTGTTAAGAGGTTAGCGAAAAAATGGCAAGTCAAACTGTTAGGTTAGGAAATTATCTGTAATTTTCCCAGAAACTTTTAAAAGTCCACACCTCTCTTCCTCTCTTTTCATTTTTTTTTGATTCCTGGTTCCTGATGAGTGCGCTCTAGTGTCTCCCACTCATCAGACACCATTGTAATCTGCCGACGTCACAGATATATAAAAATAACATCGTGGTCCGGGCGATGTAATAAAAGTGAGTAGCAGAGGGGGAGAGAAATGGGTCATCATACAATAAAACGAAATTTGAAGCTAGAGGAGAACGGAACGGATAGGTAAATCTCCTAGTAGTTGGATGATATCATTAGATCAGGTGTAAAGTAAGTAGAGGGGACAAATTACTAGGTCTGGGGTTGGAGGTAAGCTAGGTTGGGCCATTTTAATGGCCCCTTATTTTCAAGGTAATTCGAAAGATCTAAATAATTATATAAAATTTAAATGCTTTCAAAATCGAGTTATGGTGCAGAGGTCGAGTAACATCCGGGTCGGCCTGGGTAACCAGAACGACTATAGTAGTGCGGGCTCTTTCACGGCTTCTGGTTGGAAAATCGTTATTTGACTACAGTAGAATCATATATCAATTTGTAGATCTTTTGAAGTTTTACATTCTACTGTTTACTTTAGTAAGAAATTCCAATTTTGAGCCAAGTTATAGGCCTATAAGTGTGCCATACAGGAATATAAATTACCAAGCCAGACCAATTTGAGCAAAACTTATGTTTTTGAAATCAACGGGTTCTCAGCTTTCAAAATTTATAAACCACAATATTGTTTAAATTACATAAGCCCAAAAATTTCACACTTCTTACCTGGTACTTGGCGTAGTTGCCGACTTTCTGCGCACCGACTTCTTCGGCTTCTCATCTGTGGATTTTGCGTTTCCCATGATAACGGCTTTGAGGAACTTTGTCTGGAATTATTATTTTTGAAATTGGATACATGGGGAACTAAAAAAACGGAGAGGAAGAAAACAATAGGGAGATCATAAAGAAAATGAAGTTAAATAAAAAATAGAGCGAACAAAAATTTTGTTGAGAAAGAAGCAAGGAAGCAGAAGGAATAACAATGTGCTAAAATACCCTCGTGATAACTTGAAATTTATTTTTTTGGGCGTCGTTGTTTACTCTGAGCAATCATTATTATTATCATTAATTATAGAGAGGGATAATATACTGGAATCGGAGGCAAACATGAGAAAACTAGAATAAAAGGGGTGGAGTCAAGAGCCAGGATTTCAGAGCAGAAAAAAAGGGGCGGAGTTTCCTAATCCTCTATACGTGTGAAAATTTAAAAAAAACAAGTGGTTTCAGTGCGAAATCGTTTGAAAAGTCAAGGTGTACTTTGAATGGGTCACATTTTTCGAAAAATAAAAAAAAGAGCAAGAAAAGGGTTTTGGCACGATGCCAGAAAATTTCGAAAAATCTAGAAATTAAAAAACCTAGAAATCCAGGAAACATGGAATTCCAAAAGTTCACAAAATTTGGAGTTGTAAAAATTAGGAAGTTCCTAGGAACCCCATTAATTAGAAAAAAAGAGAAGTTTGAAAATTGACTTTTTCGTAAAAATAGACAAATTTGGGGTCCCAAAAAAGTGGTTCAAAATTTTTAAATTTTTCTGAAATTGTCAGAGTACACTAAACAAAATAAGAGCTTTAATTTTATAGTTGACAACGTTTTTGTAGCTTTTTTAGTTTTCGAGATATGCGCCTTCAAAGAAAGAAGCCTCCACCATACAAGAGAATAGGAGATCACGGTGTTTTTAAAGAAGCATATCTCAAAAACCAAAAAAGCCTCAGAAAGGTTGTCAATTACAAAAATAAAGCACTACTTTTGTTTAGTATACTCTGTAATTTTCAGGCGAATTGAAAAATTCTGAAATACTTTTTTAGGTACTTCAAAGTTGACTATTTTTTTACTAAAAAAAGTCAAATTTTGATACATTTCTAATTGGGGAACTGTATCTTCCGTAGAAAACGTTAAAAATAGAAATTCCTGACCGCTGCTTTTCTGAAAAGTCAAAATTCCAGGAAAACTAAACAATTTTCAATATTCTAAGCTGAAAATAGCCTAGGGAACAAATAAGATTTTTCTGGGAAACTGGAATTTAAGTTTGTCTGGAAATTCCAGAATTTTCAGAAATTAGAGAATCAGAACATCGAATATTTTGAATTACATATTGGTGGAAAAATTGAAAATGAAGAAATTTCAGACAGTTTTTAAGAAACTCCAGTTCCAAAAAAATGAGCGACTACACAGATTCTAAAATCCTTGAACAAAAAAAATCAAATCAGAAGAGCAAAAAATGTGTTGTCCTCTTCTTGCCACAGATTTTTATACACAAATTCACATGAATAATCTCTTCCGTCACAAGGGCTAGTGAGAGCAAGTAGGCGGAGCCTACAAGGGTACATGTATTTACCCAAGCTTCCCCTAGGTTATTACGAAACTGCTTTTTTAGATTTCTGAGTCATTTGGGCTCTCCAAAATGTCATCGTTTATTCATAGTGAAGAAGAACGTCATCAAATCTGAGAAGGTTATTTTTGATTTTTTCTCCGGAAAAGGATATATTCCAGGAGGATTTGGTGATAATTGACTTTTTTGGTTTCTGCTACTGAAAATCCGGGATTAGCGGATTATGAGGTAGTAGTTGATGCTAGAAGCGGATTTTCAGCAAAACAAGTTTCAGCCCAAGGGTTTCTTTTTCTGATTTTCAGCCATGCGGCAAAAATGGGCGGAGCCTAATAATGTACGTGCTGAAACAAAGATTTCTATTGTTGCAAATAAAGGAAGGTCGAAGAAATGGATTTTCAGATTTTCCAGAAAATTCTAAAAAAGGAGAGTGTAGTTGGGAAAACATTAGAAAATCGAAGTGTTTGGAATTCTAAAAAAAGTCGAATTTCGGAATTTCGGAACTATGGAAAAAATACAAGACTGATATTCTGAACTTTGAAAAAAATGAAATTGAAAAAATTTAGTTCCTGAATCTTTGAATTCTGGAGGACTTGAAAACAGATTGTTCATAAAAAACTTGTAATTTTCAGACAATATTGAATCCTGAGACAATTTCGAGAATTTCAGAATAGTTCGAATTTTCAGACAGTTTCGGAAATTTCGGACAGTTTCAGAAATTTCAGACAATGTTGAATTTTCAGAAAAACTTGAAATTTTCAGACAAATTTGAATGCAGGTTCTCAGAAAACGTTATTTGTTTCCCAGGTTATTTTCAGCCTAAAAAATTGAAGTTTTTCAAGATTTCCTAGAATTTCAACTTTTCTGAAAATCGGGCAGTCTGAAATTTCTATTTTTAACTTTTTCAGAAGGAATATTTTTCAGGAACAGTACCCCGGACAAAAATATATCAAATTTTGAATTTTTCAGTGAAAAATAGTAAAAGTTGGGACTCTAAAAAAATGTTTCAGAATTTTTCGATTTGCCTGAAAATTTTAGGGTATATTAACCAAAAATAGTGCTTCATTTTTGTAATTGACAACTTTTTTGGGGCTTTTCTAGTTTTTGAAATATGCGCCTTTAAACATGATCATCCTTTTCTTTCTCCCATTGTAACACTCGGCTGCGGGTGCCAATACTTGGCCAAATTTCATGATTTTACAAGTGTTGGCCAAGCCTCCCACAAGCCTTGGCCAAAGTATGCGCCTGCATGATCCGTTGTGATAGCTTCCACAAGTCTTGGCCCATAGTCGGAAGGATACAAGTCTTGGCCAAATTCTGATTATTGATTTTTCACCTTCGGACTCATCATTTAATTTTCAATTTGTTTTCTGGTTTTACCTATTTTTCTACTATTTTCATAAAGGTTCGAATTTTTATGAAGGTATTTTAATTTTTTGGTATTAGAAATTTTGAAGTTTCGAATCGTATAACTTTCAACATGACAGAACATTCAACTTCAACTCAAAAGAGCAAAACCGAAAAAGGATAAATCTGCGAGTCGTGAGCACATCGTGAGCATATCGTGAGTTATTATGAAGAGATATTCAGCTTTGAAGAGTTCAATATTACAGAATTCGAACACTTGAATATACAGAATTTTGATTCACGAAAAAAGAGGAGACGGAGGATGAAAAAAGTTAATTTTTTGCAAAATTCCACCAAAAAATTCTGCTTCAAAACTGTTGTTTCAGTCGACAAAGGATCTCTTTTTGAAGGTATCACACATTTTTCAAGGAGTTTCAAAATACTATGAAAACGATTCAGAGTTTCATCAAAATCGTACATGCGCAGAGTGTCGCAGTGGAAAATGAACACGATTTCAGTAAAAAAAAACAATGTTTGGAACTCACAGGAGTAACGTTTTTTAGGATTTAAAGACAACTCGAACTATTTAAAGAAGAATTTATTTGCACTGCACATTATGTGGATGCTTGTTATCCGAAAGTCAGTAATTTCGAAACCAGAACTGTGAAAATTTTTCGAAAAGGGAGTGATGGTATTAGTTCAAAGACTGAGAATTTTTAAATTACCGTTTGTATTTCAGATGCAAGAAATTGGATCGTAATGTTCTCGTCTAAAGGATACTTCAAAATACAAAGCAAAAATGAGGAAATGAGATGACTCGACTTGATGCGATTACACTGTGATTGTCGATGAATTTCAACGGATTTCAAAAAAAAAAGGAAACGAAAAGGTGGAAATTTTTTGTGATTTTAATTAATTTTTTTTCATTATTCGTTTTGTGTAGTGTTCTAATATCTTAGCTAATACATAGAATAATGTGCTCGGAGACTTGTGCTAGACTTGTGGGAGGTCTGGCCAAGTATTGGCGCCGACAGCCGAGCAGCTTCTATCTTTAAAGGCGCATATCTTAAGAACTAAAACAACTACAAAAAAGTTGTAAATTTCAAAAAAAGAGCACTATTTTTGTTTATTATTATCTGAAATTTTCAGACAATTCAAAAAATTCAGGACCTTTTCTCAGGACCCCAAAGTTACCGCTAAAAAAAGAGAGAAGAAATAAGGACAAGCCAAGAGGAAAGGGGAGAAAAAAGGATCATAAAAAATAATCAGGAATGAATGAATAACCCTTTTTTGGATACAAAGCCCTTCCCGGACCATTGGGCCACCCCCAAAAACCGGTCAATGCATTTTAAATTTCTCCATCAAATCCTAACAAAAAATTGGAGAAGAAAAAGTTTTTTCTCCCAAAAAGTACATGAGAAGACAAACAACATGGAATTATTAATGTCCAGATTCAGAAGACGTCCGTCACGTGGATTCAGAATTTCTAGAATTTTCTTTTTCTATAACTATCAATTAGATTCTGGTCTAGAAATTTTAAGAAGAAAAGAAAAATACAAAATGAATCACATCTAGAAGAAAAAATTACATAGGGATTTGGCTAGGAACGGATAGCCCAATGGCTTTGTGACGTCAAAAAAGGGGGCGGAGCTTCCCATAGAAAAGTGGGCGGAGTTTTGAGAGATAAAATGAGTGGGAGATAAAATGAAGAATGAGAGGAGCTGTTGTACAGCAACAGCAGCAATCGGAGCTGGAGTTGTGACGTCAGGGCAGGAGGGGAAGCGGAAAATGGGGGCGTGGCTTGGGGAAGACTAGAAAGGGGCGGAGCCTGGAATAAAAAAAGTTTAAGGGGCTAGAAATAGGTAAAGAATAACTCAAAATTTTCAAAAAAGGAAAATCTAGAAAATTATTAAAAAAAATAGAACATTTCAAAATTCAGAAAGTCTGGAAAATTTCCAAAAACCTGGATAACCTAGGCAATCTTGAAAAACTTGGACATTTCATAGAATTGTATAATATAACAAGTAGTGAATTTCAAAAGTTTTAATTTTCACATCAAAGTACTGAAATTTCAAAAATTTTTGTGAGCCACGTGAATCTTTTGAATCTCTCAAAAGATGGACCGTTAAG